CATCTCTGGCCTGTACCCCAGTTCTGTAAAAATAAATAAATTTTTTTAAAAAAAATTAAATAATTTGGGCCTCTTTGGGAGATAATCTGATTTTTTTCCAAGTTATTTTTGATTAATAAGTTTTCAAGCTTTTCTATTTCTTCTTGTTATAAGTTTGGTATTTCTAGTTGCAAGAAAACTTTAATTTTCAAGTCTATTAATATGGATCTATACAACTGTTTCAACTTGTCATATCTGAATTAATAGATTATCCTGTTATAAGCATGAACAATATTAAAATCATTTTATTAAACTTCCAGATGTCTCTTCAGTTTTTAAAAACATTTTGGGTTTATTTAAGTTCTTCTCTTCAATCAATTTATTTTTAATTTATATTTCTTTGGTCTTCCTAGCAGTAGGAGCCGTTGAGAAGGAACAACTTATTCTGTTGTATTTTAAATCCCAAATATAAATGCTAAAAGCAAATTCCTTATTTTAAACTCTCAATGCTACACATTTCCTTATGATGTTTTTCGTGACCATATGTTGATTGGGGTGATAGGTTAACATGTGTCTTTCCTATTAAACTACAAAGTTCCAAGAGGCACGAGGGCAGATATCATTGGTGTGCTGCTTACCACAGAGCCATGGCAGCTGGGAACAACTACGTGTTGCAGCAGTGAGGAAAATAGATTAGGATGAGCAGTCCCACCCAGCCCTGAGCCCTCTACTGGGAGCCTAGCACTGCTGGCACTGCACAGACCCCGGGCACTTACCAGTCCTATAAGTAGCCGCTGGTGCTTGTCCTCCTCCTGGAAGAGGGGTGTTAGTCTTGGCTCTGAAATTAAGCAGACGAACAAGGTGGTGTTTAGGAAGTGGGCAGAGGAAAGAGGGACCAGCCTAGGTTTCCCATCTCTGAGCCACCGGGAAACTCCAACACTTCCCTGAGAGGATGAAAATTTTTCATTCAACAAGCATGCCCTAGTCCTGCAAGGTAATATGCAGAGAGCTCTGTGAACAAAGGTAGAAACCAGGAAGGAAAGAAAACATGGAATACAGCTCTCAGGACGAACAGGCTCTGGCTGATTTCTCTTGGCAATGCCTTAGAACCTCTGTTTCACTGGAAACACAGGCACCTGGGCCCTGTCTTCATCCTGAGGAGGTCCACGCCCAGGAAAGGGAAGTGATAGGAAGCTCCTTTCTTTCTGATACCCTTAGGTCAGTGACTTTGGTAGTTACTGAGCTGAGGCCTGGTCAATTACTATGATAAGTAGTACTAAATGGCACGGGTCATTAAATTGAAAAGTAACTGGACAAAGTGGAAAAGTGGTATGGAAAGCTCAATTGGTGGTTACGTCATTTTGTGCACCAGAATTTGGAGTGAACCATGAGACTGGATGGGCAAACCCTGCCGCCTGGGAAGATCTGCCCTAACACAGCACCCCACACTTCCTCTCCTGAGCCCCGGAGGCATGAGGCTCGCCAAGAGACAGGACTGTCCTGCTTATCAAACTGGCAACTCCTTGTGAGGGATGGATGCCTCTTGACCCCCCAGAAGAAATCCTATCTGGATCCTATACAATCTTGATAGTTAAGATGAAACCATTCAAAGTTTGAGCCCAGCAGCCCTGAATTTCACAGTTTTCTGGTTTCGGACAGTGACAGCATTCTTACCAGGAAGCTAGCACTAGCAAACATGTGGGAGGAAGGGGCAATTTCCCGATAGTGCTTCAAGAAAGAACGACTAGTAATTGAATGGAAACGGGCTTCAAATGCAGGAGCAGGAGGAACTCTAGCAGGAAACAGAAGGGCTGAACACAGCCTCTCATATTGTTCAACCTCTCATATTGCAAACCTTCTGAATCCCACACAACAATGTCTTTTCTTGCTGGGCAGGATTCCAGTCAACTGCTTCTGCCTGATACAGTGGCAGAACCCATGGCTTCAGGCCTGGTGACAGCCAGCCTGCTGAGGCTGGCCCAACAGGAAGAGCCCTGTTGGGCAGGACCCACACTGGACAAGTTCACTGTCACAGTTCATGTGAGACATGTGCACAGCTGTGGGATGTACGATAACACACCATAGAAATTATTTCCACTAGGTCACCCAACATATAACCCAACATCAAGGGTCATAAAACAAAAGTGGGACATAAGAACAGCTTTTTTAATGAAGGCTGACCTTTATGAGGCTTTAAAGAGTCCCACTGACCATAAAAAAGCTTGGAGGTGAATATATTCAGCATTCTCTTCCCCCAGTTTCACCTGGTTAAGTTCCTCTGGTTTGTCAAGACTTTACTCAAGTTCTTCCAACTTCCCTTGCTCTCAACCATCCCGACTCCTCACCAAGGCTTCCCTGATCTTCACTGCACCACGCTTCCTGGTTTAGAAAATTATCATTTTGCATTTTACCCTCACACACTAATGACCAAGAAGTCACCTCCAGTACCCCACATAAGCCAAGCTTTGTCCTGGCATTATATATACCACCCATTTACTTACATCTTCTCCTTACCCCAGCCCCGAGGAGAAGAGTGTACAACAGTGTAACAAGTGGATAATCAGCTTGAGCAGGAGTGCAACTGTAGACCAAACTGGAATTTAAATCCAGTTCTGTCCACCTCAAGCCTATGCCCCTGCCCTGCAGCCACACTGCCTGCCTAGAGGCTTCTCACCTTTGCACCCTTCTGACCTAGTCCACTGAGTACCCCAGGGTTGACACAATGCAAGGGCATAGAAGTATAATCAAACAGCTGGATCCCTTAGCTTAGGATGTAAACCAAGGGAACAGCTGAAATGCCTCCTTCAAGAAGTGCCAGAGGGAATCTTACTTAGAGGCAGTAAATATGGAAAAGGATGAAAAACAAAAGGTCAGCATCCAGGGTGCTGCTCCAGCAAAAGTACCTCAAGCAGATGCCTCCAAATGTGCTGCCAGACCCAGAAGGAGCTAGGGAGCACTCTGGCTGGAGGAGCTAGGGAGCACTCTGGCTGGAAGATGTGGATGGGCTCTACCTTCTTCACACAATTGGAAGTGGCTTTCTTGCTAACCCACAGAGGAATGCAGAACAGTGTTCCACACAAAACATTGACTGAAATCCAGAAGGCATTTATTACAGGTCTTTTCTTACCCAAGTTCCTTGCTTCTAGGTTCGAAATCACCCTACAAAGAAATTGGTCAATGTTATTACAGAGAAAGCATTGTGAAAAAGAAAAACTAAAGCAAGCGATACCACTGTATAAAGATATCCTTTCAAAAGCCATAAAACCACTGCAGAAGCAGTTGTCAGGCTGCTAAAAAAAACCTCAAAAACTTTAATCAACTTGGCAAAAGCCACACTGGGCAATTATAAAATCTCAAACACTTCAGAGCAAACAACAGCCACAATTTAGAACAATAGCAGCTCTCAGTTATTGGAAATGATGGGAAGAATAAAAAACAGGGCTTGGAATGGGGCGTGAACTTGGAGCAGTCTGAGTGACTCATCTATCTTGAAAACAGGCTTTCAAAATAAGAGTAAGTTGACCAGCCCACTAAAACTTTTTTTAAAAATCAAAACCACTGTCAGGAGGGAGGAATGTGGGAGACTATGAAGAGGACCAGTGGTGGCGGGGGGAAGTAAACATTGTTGTAAAATGAGCAATAATGTAAATAGATAAACAAATAAGGGGAAAAAAGTCAACTACTGTCCATACCCATCATGACCAAAATGCTCAGTCAATAAGAACTTCCGTTCTCACTTTCACTGATCCCTTGTAAATCATCCATCTCCAGGATGTAACTCTAAAAGGTTGACATACAGACTTTTCCACTGGAAACTCCAGCACTGAACTTCAGAATAAGATCCAGGTAGCAGCATTTATTAACCACCATTTTCGGAGGAAGGCAGCCAACCAAATCAAAGTAAAAGACCTCTGATACATACAATAGTTCTAAGTTGTGCTTACTTTATTGCGTTATCCAGAATATTTCTCACATATGCCAGGGGCCTTCTTTTTCCTGTTTTCTACGAGTGAGAAAACACAGAGGTGTGTGGAAAGTGAAGATTTTTCTGGGGCCATTTTTCAGATCAAGGGCATAATGGATATAATTTGTTTCTGAAAGAAGAAATATACCTTTCAAGTAATCAAAACACCTAGATTCTTAAAAAAAATTTAGGTTTTATTCTAAAACTACTATAGATTTACAGGAAGTTTCGAGTCAACTATATACTATATACAACACCACAATAAGAATGCCACGGATTTTGTGTACCGTTCACCCAGTGTCCCCGATGTTCACATTTCATGTAAGTAACTGTAGTGCAATATCAAAATCAGAAAATGAATGCAGGATTCTGTGCTGTTCTATCACTTGTGTAGAGTGATGTACTGCAATGTGTCTCCATGATCAAGCGACGGAACTGCTCCATCAGCTAAAGAGCTCCCTCTTGCTAATCCTTTACAATCACTCACATCCACTCTTCTTGCAATTATTCCTAACCCCTAACAATCTGGAAATACCTAGACATTTTTAAAATCAATTTTTAACTGTCCAAGTAGTGAAGTACCAATCTGCGTCCTTCTACCACTAATGTGCTGTGTGTCTAGCAACCTCGTCATACTTGAATTTCCTTCTCAAGAGGACAGAAATTAGAGACACATCTCTGTCTGCCTAACAGGGGATCAGGAGTGACCGTGTGAAAGTGCTCAGCACTGGGGAGAGAGCTGCAAAGGAAGGCCGGTCCTATGGCTTAAGGGCATCACCTGGATCTCACACACTCTGCTTCTGCTGCTTGGTTTCTTTGCATGAACATACACATCCTCTTCCGAAATTAGGCTGTGCCATTCTCTCTTGACCATGCTGTTGTTATAGTGTAAGTGTGGCTTGGAATATTTAACATATTCCAGGTTGGCATTCAGTTTTTCCCAGTAGCCCTTAAAGTTGTGCACCTGTAGAAGACAAAAACATCAGAGAGTGTGGGAAGCTGGGCCTGTGGCCCAAACTATCCACCCAGAGCCATGGATGCTTTGCCACAAAGCTGAGCTCTCCTTATTTCTTCAATTCTGGGGTGGCAGCATTTCTGAGAGAATACTTTCTGTGTCAAATGGAAATAGATTCTCTCCCTAAAACAGAGACTTAGTCTTGCCTGCCTTACTTTACTTTCTCCCACAACCCCCACCCCTCTGAGAAGAGAGAGCAATTTCCACTCAGTCCTGGGGCCTGTATGTGTCCCCTGGGTTATAGCTAAGTGGGAAGCCTGTCTTAGGTACACCAAGGCACTTCTCCCCAGAGACCAATTTTTCTGACTTTGGTTGTATCAACAATACCATCATGTTCAGTCAGAGAATGTTGATTTAAATTTGGAATTGTGGAAAGGCTTATTTTCTCACTAAACTTATTTACTTCCAAAAGGGTTTTCCCAAAGCTAGGAATTAAAAAGGTTAAGTAAATTAGTTTCACTCTCAATTGTTAAATACTCCAGAAAAGAATGAGTTGGCATCCTAGTTAGGTTATTGACATATTAACTGTACTATCCCAAAGCAAGAATGAATCCATTGTGCTTGTTTTATCTTTTCGTTACGTTCACTTGAAAATAAAATGCAGTATTAATATATCTTTTAATGTTGAAGGATTTACTAATACAAATTGTTTTAACTACTACTTTTTGTTGGGTTTACAACACTCTATAATTTAAGGAAATAGGTTCACACCTCTTCAGCTGTATTTTACCACAATACACCCACAACCACCACTGTTTTTTTTATAACAGTTTATTTTTACATCATTTTGTACATTTTTTTTTTCATCTCAATTGTAATCCCCG